TTGATATTTTGCCAAATTGTTTTGGTTCGTTCGTTTTTTTCCTTTTAGGTTGTTGTGGTAACAGGTAACCTGTTGATTATTTCTGTATTAATAATCGCACTAATTTTTAATTAACCTTATAATCAATAAAATTACTCATTTTAGTGATTTTACACATATCTAGTACTGCTTCGATCTCTTTTTACTTGTCAAATCATATTAAGAAAATATTGATTGGTATAGTGAATTGTCATTTTATCCCTATTAATTGAATAGGATCCCAAATCATATTTATTCACTATATTTTTCAAATTAATATTTATAATTTTAAAAAAATTATTCTTTCTTGATTTGTCAAAAAGTGACAAGTAAAAAAGAACATTAAGTTAGAAAATATTGACAAATAAATATGGACGGAGGGAGCAGAAGAGTTGAGAAAGTTCAATTGAATTTAAGTTGGTAAAAGAATCATAAAAATTAAACTCAAAACTCGTAGTATTACATACTTCCTCTGTCCCTAATTACTTATCCATTTTGATAAATCAAGAAAGGATAAAATATTTTTACCTAATTACCCTCAATATTTTTTGAAAATCTTAAATTTTTAATTCATTCACTTCATAATTAATAGGGGTAAAATGATAAACTTATTATGTCAATAATTATTATTTTTAATAGATATGACAATTTAAAAATAAACAAGTAATTAGAGACACAACTGAGTATGAAATTAGGACGGTGATTTACAAACTGAGTGCCCCCCAAGAGCGCCGTGCCTGCTGGAAATTCCACAAAAATTATATATATGTACCTTCACTTATTTAATTATACGTTAAAAGTTGCAAGTCCCAGCGCAAGCAAACTGCCTACTTTGCCTTATATTATATTTCCTCCGTCCCAATTCATGTAATGTACGTAAATTTTCTTTTAATTTTTTTTTTTATCTAAAATAAGTTATAGATATTTATGTTTCTATAAATCATCTCATTATGAAAAATTAAGAATTCATAATTTTCAAATTTTAGATTCTCCTAAGTTATCATGTGTTCTAAAAAATATTTATAAATAAGACCTCCTATCTTCCACTCAGCTATGACCTTGTCGCATGGGACTTGTCTAGTGCAATTTATATTTTATGTGCAGTGGCGGAATCAGAATTTCACGTTAACTAGTTATTTGTCACATAAAATTGGTAGCGTAGAAGATGCAACACTAGAAATAGTGCGGTCTTCAATAACATGCACTAGTCCATCAAGCCCACACATGCACCCATTGTCTTCATATATATTCCCTACTTTTCCATCAACTTAATGTATTTGTTACATTTCATACATTTGAACTACAACTTCTCAAAATGTTTGCTCCAAATTCTCAATTCCAAATTTTTCTCACCTTCAATTTTCTTCTTCTTTTCTTCCTTTCACTAAACAATGTCCAAATTACTCAAGCCATGTCAACAATCACAGCAATTTCCAAAGACCAAATCGCTTGTGAAATGTGCACCACTTGTGAAAACCCATGTCAACCTATTTTGCCTCCATCACCACCACCACCATCACCGTCACCTCCGCTTTTATGCCCTCCTCCACCATCACCACCACCACCACCACCGTCACCGCCTCCTCCACCACCAGTCAATTATTGTCCACCACCACCTCCACCACCGGCACGACGTTCATGCCCGGAAGATTGCTCTCTACAACCTCGTTCACCACCTTATTCCATATATCCTTATTTTTCGCCACCTTTAGCTTACTCTAATAAATCCACTCGATACAAAAATCAACCTTTCGTTACTTGTCTTATTATTGCCATTGCATGTCTTTTTAAAACTTTCGGGCTAATGTAATGTTAGATCGTTCGTTTTTGGTCAAGTCTGCATAATTTTTCTTAAAACGTCTTGTTGTACTCCTATGATTAATTCTTATTGATTTTTAGTATCAGACTTTGTTCGTATACTCAACATAAGCGGAAAAAAAAGCATAGTGATATGTATAACATTTAATGTTTGTTTGCTTATATAAATAAATATATGTAAGTTTCATGTTTAGAGAATGTGAAGGGATCTAGCAAAAAGAAATTGAAGGGGCAAGAAGTGGTGGATAAAAAAAGATGGTGTACCAAATTGCCAAAAGGAAAGAATTAATGTGGATTCGAAGGACATCTCATATGCTTCTATAAGGGAAAGTAGGAGTAGCCTTCTTTTGCCCTTTAGGCAGTGGAATTCAATAAAGTGACTCAAATGTAATACAAGAGTCACATGCTTAGTTTTTATATCATTTATGATATTTTACTTAAATTTACTTATTGTTGGATACTAATGTACTCATCTATTCTATAAAAAAATGAAGCATCTACTTGGTTTTTATTTTCTTTTAAGTTCTTTTGGTTTTTTGTGAAATATTTTTTTATAGTCCGACTAATTTAGATACGAGCAAAAAATTTCACTTTAAATATAATACTTGTCATCGCATTATAACTTTTGGTGAATTTTTAGATGATCATTGATAATTCATAATGTTCATGTTTCAAAAGCTTCAATATTATTTATCAAACACATTGGTTGCCAAATCACACAAGAAGAAAAAAGTGGGAAGATTATATTGGATTATAATTCCAATAGTAACTTCCACCACATAATCATTAAAAGCAAATGATTATATAGATTATAGGAGTAATATTTTTGGGGTGATCTTGGAAAGTTGGAATAAAGATCAATTTTTAAAGCGTGACAAAAGAGCATCGTATAATAAGGAAAAAGTGTCTAATAATTATATGATATAAACTTTTTGGATTTTCATCTGCGGTTTATGTTTATTTTAAATTTCGATTAATTTAAATTTGCATTGTATAAGATCTATTAAAAGGAGAGATTTTTCGTACTAAATTTTTTCCATTCCTAGGACTCGTATTCCAAACACCCCATTAAAAATGGACAAATCATATTCATTTCATCACAACCTTCGATGGTAGTATATTTTCTTTGTGTTTCTATGTTCTTTTAAACCTCTTTTTAATATGAATTTGGTGAACTTTTAGGAATGAATTATTTCTTCTGCCACAATATAATAGACTTGATTGGAAGTTACTATATGTAGAATAAAATGTTCGAATGGATTATTGATTTATTCAAAATATTGAGTTAAATGTGAAAAGTAAAATTGAAAAGTACAATATTAGGGCCTCGATTAATTCAAATTCACGCCTAAACGAAACAGAGAGAAGGGAATTCATTGAAGGAACTAAGTAACAAATTAAAGAAAAAATATTAGTTGTTCAATCGAAAAAAGGAGGAGTATATTTTTTGAACAAAAGAGAAAGGAAATCGATAGAAATCATATTCCATGTCCCTTTATTCTTATTCCCATTTCATGGCAGTCAGTCTGAGAATGCTGAAATAAAGAAGGTGAAAAAGCTAACTTTTTTGTGCTCTGTTTGATTGACACTGTTCAACTGACTTTAGTTACGCTGCTGTATTAATAGAGAAAATTTTAGAAATAGCAAATATAATAAATAGGAGTATAATAAAGCTCTACAATTATAATTTTAATAATTGCACTTCATAGCTTTAATTTCGTTTGGAAGTTGCTGTTTGCATTCTGTCCGTTTGTAGAATTCACTTGCGAACATACAAATTTTGTATTTATATATTTAGGAATTTTTTAGACGTCCGTTTGTATATTTCACTTTTCAATATACAAACAGGACAATTTATTATGATTTTTTAATAAATCATATATAAATAACTAGAATAAACATATACAAAAATCTGAATTTATACAATTAGCAATCGGATTATACAAATTTTGAATTTATATAAATCAAGCGAATTATTCAAATTAGGCAATTAACAAGAATTGAAAAAATTGTAACCACGAATTATTATTTTCTTAAACTATAGCCATAGTATCTAATATAAGCTAAATGTTTGTTATTCCGCATAATTTTCCCTATTTAATATGTAGTTAGGGAATAAATTAAATATTACTAATATGAATACAATACAATGAAGAACAACACCATCCAAACAAGGTGTTAGGAGCTAGCGACTGGATTAACTAGTTGGGCCCCATCAGTTTTGGGCCTGCATTATCAGTCTTGCTCAACACTTCCACAACCTCAGCGCAACAAAAATGTTTAATTTTTGATAGATTCAAAGACATGTTAAACTTAGTTTAAGGATTTCCAACGATATTTCAAAAAGAAAAAATTACCTTATTAAATCATATATACTAATTCTATCTATACTTTCAAGCTTAGCTTAAGTGAGAAGTGTATATCATCTAAGCAACATTCTATTGCTAAGCTTGAGTTTTTTCTACACCTCCCTAGAGTTCTCACATTTTAATGTCCTTGACGACTCGAACTCATAACCATAAAGTCGAAAATAAAGGGTACTTACCATCCGAAAAGCAACGACCTAAGGCTCCTCCCCACTGTCCCAACAAAAGTTCACTACACCACATTTATCAACAAAAAAAAAAATAGCACGCCAATATAATTAACAAACAAGCTAGGCCAATTCATATTTGATACGTAAGGCCAATTCATATATATATACTGACCAAACAATAACAATAACATATCCAGTAGTACGCATATTTGACTTGACTCTTGTTTTCGACCCATCGTACATTGTAGGATAATCAGAATTTTAAGGAGGATATGAAAATTACATGTATACAACAATAAAAAAAAAACCAGTACTATCAACAATAATACATGTAATAAGACAGACTGACTCTCTATAATTCTACATACCACATCTACAAAAGTAGATTAGGATGTCCTCAAAGCAAACACTCTTAAATTTTCTATGGAGATTTGGTGGCACAATTTGTTTAGTCCACTACTAGCTTCTTGACTTCTTAAACCTATTGCTCGTGGACGTAACATGTATCCCATGAAATTAGTTGAGTTGTGCCTAAGCTTGTCCAAAACACTACAATTATTAAAGAAAAAACAGTGTCTCTAAGCCTGAAATACATATTTTGATTGGTTAAAATGGAATAAAATTATGGTTACAGACACAAGAAAATGGGTAGAACAAGAATGAGACAAGTGATAAAAGGATGGTTCTTGAACTGAACAGATTTGGAGTCAACTGTATAAGGTGAAGGAGGGTTGTGAAAATAGAAAGGGAAATATGGCAGAATGGGGTTTGGAGGTGGAGGGATTGGGTATACAGAAGGGTCTGTTGGAGGATAGTAGTAATCACCATCACCGACACCACCACCACCGCCATCATAAGGTGGTGATGGAGGCTGCTGAGAGCAACCTCCCGGGCAATATTGTGGTGGATGAAAATTATAGTCAGATGATGGTGGTGGTGGCGGAGATGAAATGGGCTGACATGGGTTGTCACAGGAGGAGCACATTGTGCAGGATATTTGGTCTTTGGCAATTGCTGTCGTTGTCGACGTGGCATGACTTAATTGGACATTGAGAAGCAAAATGAGGGTGCTGAAAACTAGTAATTGAGAATGCAGAGGAGACATTTGCATGAAAACAGAGGAGATATGAAACAGGGCAAATGAGGTTTTGAGTTATGCACAAATACAAGAAGTGAAATAGAAGAGTTGTTTATGGTACTACAAAAGAAGACAATAATAGTGAGAGGCTAAAAAAAGTGAGAGGCTTAGAAGATAATGAAGAGAATGGGTGTGTGTATTGATGACCGCACCATTCCTAGAGTTTTATCTTCTAAGCCACTACTCTCTATTGTGACAAAAATATTACTCCCTCCGTTTCACAAAAAATATCTAAACTTAGCACAAAATTTTAAAAAATAAAAAAAACTTTTGAATCTTGTGATCCTAAATTAAAGTTATGTCAAATATACAAAACTGTTCTTTAAACTTGTGTCCTTAAACATGCCACGTGAAAAATTGATATTAAAATGTTACCAAAAAAGAAAGAGGTCATTCTTTTTTGAAACGGAGGGAGTAATTCCCATTGCCCTTTTCAAGTGTTTGATATAACACACACAAGAATGTGAACGCAATCAGATATCTAAAATTTAGCTCTACGCACCCGCCTAGTGGTTCAAAAAAGGAGGTGGTTTTAGGTTCAATCTTATTGGCATACTTCATACAAAGTCGTATTTCGTATTTGTTAGGAAGTATTGTCCCTCAACATAGATAGAATTTTTTCAGTGCTAATTCAAATTTAATGGGATATAAGATCATCTGCCAAGAAGCAGAGGTAAATTAATTCCCAGCAAGTTATGATGTCGGTTTTTTTTTACCCATAATACCCTTGAGTCTTGACATTTCCATTTACAAACATGATGTCTGTTTTCATAAAAGAAAACAAGACCAAATCATCATAAAACATAAATCACCAGTTTTCACCACGAAGCTTTCTAAGAATCCTACCTTGAGGTGAATCCGGATCACCTCTCATAGCATTCATTTTCCATATCTCCACAGCTCTCAAAAGAGCCTCTTCAGCCGTATCCAATTGTTCCGGCCTCCACACCATCATCCCGCCCCAAGGGGCGGGATACAGAGCAATGCCATCATCCGCAGGCGCATCAGTCGCCTGCGTAATTGGCTTCCTCGTATCAGCCATCTCCATTTCCGCTAATGGAGATGGCTTATGATGACTAAAATACTCTTTGTCATCTTCAAATTTATCTCCCCTGCTTTTCGATTCGTCAGGCCACGGAGAATCATCCAAATCAGCACAACTAACATCTTTTAATGACGTTTCATCGGTAGCATTACTAGATTTCTGTCGTTTTTGTTGTGTCAATGGGTCTATAGGTTGGTTAACGCCCGTGCTTTCGATCTTTCGAGATGACCTGATAGGTGATTTGTGTGGCACAAATGCATCCTTGGTGTTAACAGACTTTATATTGGGTTGTTTCTTTTCATTTTCTGCTACCTTTACTGATTCCTCCAAGTCATCTCCCTGTAAACACAACATTGTAAGGCGATTTATTCAAACACAATTTGGACACTGCAATAATAAGACGTGACAAAATTGTAAAATATAACTCTAGACCTAACTCAACCCAAAAATTAGTCCACAAAGGAAGATTTGTCATTATCCATATAAGCAAACGGTAACCCACTCTAACAAAAATTAACTCACGGATTAACTAAGACCCATTAGAACAAAAACAACTTTTAACGGCAATAAACAAAAACATTAGTAAAGAGTGCTAAAATCATTATCGACATTAGTTAAGTGTCATTAGATCGCTAAAGACTTTAGAGACATTAATAAAGAGTGCTAAAATCTTTACCGGCATTAGTTAAGTGTCATTAAATCGCTAAAGACTTTAGAAACATATACCAAGAGTGTTAATTGTCGCTAAAAATGCATATTTGATTGCGGCTAAATATCATATTTTATTTTTTTATGTAGTGACCCTCCGTGGGAGGGAAAATCATGTAAATAGAATCAAATTGAAAATGAACAATTAAACTATAGAGTTAAAAAATAGGTAAAGATAGTGCAATGATCATTTTAAGTGGATTGATTTATGCCTAGTACACTTTAGGCAAACTGAATCGTAACCCATTTAATAACTCCACCAATTTTAATTGCCAAATTCATCAAATTATTGAACTTGAAAATATTCGAATGGTAAGCACTCACTCTCCACGTCGAACTCCAAAAGGGAAAAAAGAAAAGAATTGCTTACTTCAAGAGGTCCAGAATGAATGGCAGGATCAGCTGTTCGACCTCCACTAGAAGAGGAAAATGATTTGTACTTTTGAGATTGTGCCAATAAGAGTCGATGAAGTTTTGTAGATGAAGAAATCGCCAATCTTGTTTGCATCTTTTGAGCTTTTTTATATTACGCAACGAGTAATTAAACGTTACAAATTTTCTTAATACTTGTATTGGAAATTAGGTGAGATTATATAAAAGCAACACTAAAAAACTTGTCACTTATGGGCACTGTAGGCATTTAGATAACGTGTCAACTTTTGTAGACGTGACTAGAGTTTTCTAGTGACTCCTCCACTCTTCTGTTTCGTGTCAAATTCTACACTTTTCTCTTCCAGAATTGCCTAGAAATATTCTACATAACATTTTTATTTTACCTTTTTCCAAATAATTCTACATAGTTACAAAATTATGATTTTACTACTTTTAATTAAGATAATTAAGGATTTGCCAAGATACTCCCTTCAATAAGCTCTACTATTATCAAATTATCGATCACATCCCTTATTAGTAATAAAATTTTGAGTTTCGACTCTAATTATGAAATCTTTTCATTTCATTCGAACTGAATTATATTTAGTTTTGAACAACATGCTACTATTGCATTACCATCATTGTTGACCTTCTCCACACAAACGCAAACACAACCACAACTAGCTATCAATTTACAATTATTTTTGTTGATTACCATCATAACTTGTCATAACATCAAGCTTTTAAAGCGCGGTTCATAAAAAACTACTTACTAGAAAGGGGTAAAAGTAAATTTCTTACTTTCTTCCCCACTTTTCCACCATCCAAACAGCCATGTAAATTTTTTTCTTCATATTCCTTTATCTCTTTTCTTTGTGTCCCTAAGCCCCTAACGTTTGGCCCAAGTTCTTAAATTATATTATTATTTTATAATTAATATGTTTCATTAAAAATAACATTATAATATCATGGATAACAAACAACAATAACAAATGACAATTTAGGCAAGACAATACATTAATCACATACTTAAACTTGTCACTGATTCAGTTATGATTATAACTCATTAAACACAAATTATTCTTTTCCTCAATTTTATCACTCAATTAGAACTCAAACTTTTTCGAAGGAGATAGTAACAAATATTTTAGTTAGAATTAATAAATAATGCTTATCTTTTTATAAAATATAAAAGGTTTGGGCAATTTTAAATTTTTTTAAAATTTTCAAATATTAGCACTTGACCCAAATATTAATTTTTTTTCAATATTTTAAAACTTAAAATACTTGACAAATATATTTATCAAGTTATATAATCAAATATCACCTCCCAAATTTTTCTCGAATATTTTTGAGCCATACGGGTCCTCAATACACTGAGGGGCAAGCTTACAATGACAATAAATGTGATGATAGGTACCAATTTAATAATTTTGGCACCCTGTTACTGCTGCCAACTCACAATTGACACCAACCAAAATTCATATACATATATATATATATATTATTATTTTTTTAGCAGTGATAAGCATGACGTTGATAGTAGAGTAGCAACTTTCTTGGCGATGAGTTAATTCTTATACTCCCCTTTGGCCCCAAAATATTTATTATTATTATTATATTTTGTGTGATTTAATATGGTTAATTTTTTGTATAAAATTAATTAAACCCAATTTAAATATTAAAATATTTCGAAACGGATAGAGTAATTAAATCAGGTGGATTTTGAAATTCAATTTTTCCCTCGAGTCGAGAAATTAATGCAGTCTGCATTCAGAACTGATAGATCCTCCACAGAAAGTACCAAATAACACCACAAAATTCCAAAATTTGAATCAAAATTCAAAACATTACTACATTAGCAATTACAACTGAAACTGAAAAAAAAAAACTCTTGATCAAAATGGGTCAATTAATTAGTAAAAATTACAATGGGTTTCTGCTGCAAGTAGGAATTGAGGGTTAGAATAGTAATTTTCCAACAGATCCACAAGAAAGAGCCATCAATAATATCGCCGCTTGTTCTTCTTCTCTTAATTTTCCTCCAAATCCCATCAATTTACTAATTTCTCTACTCTTTTCCTCTTTACAAACAATTCTCCTCTTCTTCTCAACACCCAAAATCTGTCTCCTCTTCTTATTATACTTGATCCCACATGCGTTACACAACGACTAAAACACAACAAAAAATTAAATTACACTGTATAATCACCGTCTATCAAAATAATAATCAACAAATATATATTGATCTAAGTTTATTTTTACCTTGGGACCTGATGGACCACTTCTCCAAAGAGGTGTTTTTGTGGTATGACAATAACTACAAGATTTCATTTCCTCTGCTTCTTCTGATCTCTAAACATCATAAGAAAATTGAGATCAGTGAGCAGAAAGAAAAAATAAATATAAGTAAGGACTCTCACCTTTACTTCCTTCAGATCCATCACTACAAATGTTATTGTAAATGTTAATTAAGATCACACAGTTTGTTTGTGTGGGAAGAAAAAAGAGTAACTTTTAAACGTGTTGTAAATTGCAAGGCGGGAGAAAGATTTGTAGTGTTGATGTGGCTAAAAGAGATACACAATTGAACTACAATAACTAGTACTAGACTACTAGTAGTAGTAGGGTGAAATGGCTAAAAAAATAAAAATAGGGGATAGGGAAGCTAAAACTGCGACATAGTAATTCCTCAGTCCACTATTGTTTGTCACAGTAAGATGCACAATTCTTAAGAAAAATTTAATATAATATGCAATTTGACTAATATAATCTTACTATCAATCATTATTATAATGATTTGTACTTTTTGAAAATTGTAAAATTAATTTTTTTTCATATTAAAGTAGTCTTGTAACTTTAAAATGACTACTTTTTGAAACTAATAGTTATGTAATTATTAAGGACAGAATTGAAAAAAGTGACAAATTATTTCTTGATTGTTTAAATTGACAATTAATTTTGGATAACTATTTTTTGTATACCTAACAAACAATAGTGGACGGAGGGAGTATTATTTTGTGGACACGACATCATAGTTAAATTTAGATTCCTGTTTTGGGGAATTTTACATTAATACCCTTGTGATTCAAATAGTTTACTCTGAGTCAGAAAAATCTCAACCGTTGAATTCTCTTATGATACGATCGAGGGTTGTGATGGGAAGTACCATGGGCATGGTCCCGAGGGTTATCGCTATCGAATGGAAGTAAGTGGCAGGGGAAATAGTTCGATCTCAAACTTTTTGATGAAAAATTATATTATATTAGATAAAAAAAAAATAAAAAAAATTGGTAGGAGTAATTTAATTAACATTGAAATTTGTGGGGGAAAAAAGAGATTAAAGGCAAGACTGATAAATTCTTAAGGTAATTTGACATGAATGTTTCATTGAAATATTCATTTTTATAAGAGGAAGAAATTAAATTTATAAGTTTAAAAATCAAAGATTTGAAATAACTAAATTGATAAAATCGAAACTGAACTTAAGAGGATCGATCATTTAGATTTTAGATTCTTAAATACAAAAGAAAATCTAATAGAATGAAATTTTCATATTCAATCTGAACTGTCGAAACGTCCGCCCCTAGAGGCAGACCCAAATGCAAAGTTGGGGTGCACGTGCATCCATTAACCTTGAGAAAAATCATGTATATCTATGTTGGAAAATTGACAAAAATTATATATTTGTAAACTACGTAAAAAGTACTATAAGTCACAATAATTGACAATTCAAAATAATTAAAAGATATATGAAAAATTTACGGTCAAAGATAGACTTGTTTGAATCTCGAAATTCGAAAAGTATCACATAAATTGAGACAAAGTGAGTAATTAACAGTGCACCCATGAGGAACATAAGAGTGGTTTGTGCCATTGGTATACGCCAAAGGTACCACCCGTGAGACCAATGCTCAATTTTACTTGAAGCCATATTTTGTTGTTTTTCGTTTTAAGTTTAGATTGATGTATCCAAAGTCTTCAAATCCTATGTTCACCTCTGCAAACCTCATAACAACAATAGATAATTTATCAAAGCAAATGTCACTCATTTTATTTTAAGTTTAGATTAGTGCACCCAAAGTCTCACTCATAATTAAACAGATACAAACGAACCATAGCCATTAAAAACATATATAGTTATTAACCTACTTTACTTATATCTAAACATCCAACAGCAAGAACATCATTAGTAGAAAACACAAATACATATGCTAATACAAATATTTGCCTAGAGCCTTATTCTTCACCATTTTAGCTTGCCTTTATGTTTCTGGGCCAGAACATTGAAAAGTTGGGCCAGACAGGCAAAAATGCTGGCTATAAAGCACATAAGACATGACAATGCAAATAATGCCCAATCCTTAAATGTTTTCTTGACAAGTTGAGCTCTGTCTGAAATAAGCAATGATCTGTAAACAGCTTCAGTTACAGAATATGCTGAGATTGGATCATATTCATCTGCTAATAATCCATATTCTGTTACACAAACTATATCATATATTCCATTAGTCTCTGAGGTACCAAGATGTTTGCATATTTTCAATCGACAGTCGATTCGATCCTCAGTTGATAACTTGTCTCCATGAGTTAAAATCAATATGGGGTTCCCATCTGCAATACGAATGTCTGAGTTTAACTTCTATATACTGATAATATAAAAAAAAAACTTGTTTACTGTAACAAGTGGAATTAGAGATCTAAGAATACAAGAGAGTAGGAAATGTCCAATTGGCACTTGTGAGTTGTGACACAACGATTTCAAATTATGTTGTTTTTTTTTAATTTCCCACTCGGTCTCCGGAGTACATATTTAAACCCCGACTAAATCTAGATCACGCATTATAGAGCCCATTCAGGAGTGGCGCTCCCAACATTATTTTCTTCATACCCAGAACTCGAACATGAGACCTCTGATTAAGGGTGAAATAGTTTCACTATTGGACCACAATTGAATTATGATCTCTTAAGACTAGGAAAGAGACAAGCTTGTACTCTCTCTAGTCATTTTTATCTGACATTTAAGGTTTGACTATAATTTACTCCTTTCGTCCTATTTTAAATTTTCTTCACGTCCATTAAGAAAAAAATGTCCATACAAAGTATAATTTACTAATTTATGCCATCTATAATTTTATTTTTTTTAGAATTGAGCAATAATAAAAATGACTACTTATTTAATGTTAAGAGCATAGTTGAAGTTAAAATAGTTCTCTACTTTGATTTTGAATTTCTGGGGACAAATTTTTCTTAAGTTAAAGCGACAGTTAAAATAGGACAGATGAAGTACTTGACTGAATGAGTAAGGATGAGTAATAGAGTAATAAGAGAGAATTAATAATTAAAACTCACTAGATTTGTTGAGTGAAGATGAGCAATAAAGTTGCTTCAATGCATCCAATGGCTTAAAATCATCGAGTTTGAGAGACTTATATATTTCATAAGCATTAGCCACCATCATAACACAATTGACACTTCTCTTTATGAACATTGAAGAAGAAGCATCCTCCAATTCATTATTTAACATTGGTACAAGTACATGATCTTCTTGTCTGGAACACAGCTTCTTATGGTGGACTCCATCAGGAGCCATCCATTCTTTCAATTCTAGAAGAGCTTCATCAACTCTATCATAATCGAAACCCCTCGTATCGTAAATGCAGAATCCACTTCGAGTTGATCTTAACACGTTGTGTTCCTCCATCGTTAATGTTGTGTAACCACAATCATTTCCTATGATTTTAAAAAAAAAAAAATATACAAGAATTAAAGTCTTAAGAAGAAAAAATATTGATATGTACAAAATTTGTGGTATTTTATGGCTATAAAAACATGTCCTTAACAATAAGACATTAAGTACAAAATATACAAAATTAAATAACTTTAAATAGAGAATATGTCATTCTTTCTGTAACAAATTAAAAGGGGATACTAGAGTATCGTATACAATGAAACAAATAAAGCAATATAGGATTCTTATAAGCGATTCCAACTAGTTTTGGACTAACGTTTCTCTTTTATATCATCTCAAATGTTCCTTATAAGTTACTCTCTCCGTTCTCTTTTACCTGTTCAGTATACTAGAAATAGATTTTTAATTTAGTCGTATACTTTAGCAAATTAAGAGAGAATTGACAAAAGGGAGTTTTTGGATGATAAGCACCCTCACTTCCAACATTAAGCCTCAGAGTTCGAGTTACCAAAAGAGCAAAGCAAATACAAGGAACATACATAATTGACGTAAAAATAAACACTTGATTAGCATTTTCTTAAGGAAAAAATGCAAAATGTAAACTGGACAAGTAAAAAAGAACGGAGAAAGTTGAAGGAATGTTGCATTAAGTACCTGAGGAAGTTTGTGCAAAAGGGATGAGACCAGATTGACCAAGAACACTATACATAAGGTTGACAAGTGAACTTTTGCCAGCATTATGAAAACCAACCAACAATATAGTATTCACAGGTGGAATATCCAAATCCTCTTTGTTAATTCCACCAATTGGCACCCAAAAATCCCCTACTTTATAAGACATTAGCTTTTGTCTAAGCTCATCAAAACTCTCAATGGACATCAAATATAACCTCTCCATTTCTCTAAGCACTTTAAGTATTGGTGTCAATTTTGACAAATTTTGTATTTTTTCAAACTTGAATTTTACACACTCATCAAATTTTGATGCTAATCTCCACCAATAGTGCATAGCTCTACTTTCTTCATCTTGTTTGTTAAGATCAAAATTTTCATCCCTCATTGTAGTAGAGCTAGCACTAGTTTTTTTCATGTGAAGCTACAGGAGCTAATTTGCATTGCTATTTAAAGTAGTTCTTGTCACTACTAGCTTGGTACAAGCATGGCTGAGCCAAAGGGTTACCTATTGTTTTCGATCGAACTTAGTAACTTGATATTTGTATTAAGAAATTTATTGAATATGTATAAATATTAAATTCAGAATTCAGTTACTAACCCTTAGCTTGCATTTGAACATGCGATATGTAATCATGATTTCAAATATCGAATTCTTTAAAAAGCACGATTTGGGATTTCAAATCCTAATTTCAATTTTTTTAACATATAAAACTTGATTCATAAGTTTATATTTTATATATTTTTTTTAAAATACCCGAATTTTTTACAAAAGACTTATGTTCGGCATGAAAATTTTGTTTGTACCATGTGAAAAGATTATAATAAAGAATAACTAGTTAGTAGTAACTACTATTATTGACTAGTTGATCTTTATAAAATTATGCGTATTTGAAAGTTTGTAATCACAAATATTTATTTATAAAAGGAACACAGAGATATGTGATTTATCCGTTCGATGCCTTATTAGGATATTTCGATATCTTGTTTATCAACTATGGTTTGATCATTTGGTAAGATTGTATAAGAATTGAATAAATATTAATAGTTTCCACAACATGTGGGGTTTTCATGTTTATATATTAGAAAAAATACAAACTTAAGAAATTCAAATTGTTTGTCCAAATAAAATTTCGACTTTAAATCACTAATTCCAAATCACGATTTTATAACGCAGGTGCAAACCGGCCTTAATGTCACTATCCTAAATTTATAACTCATTAAGTTCACATTTTGATTCTCCCTTTGGGTAAAGTGTTTACTTCATCTATCTTAATTTATGTGGCACCATTTGACTGACATACTTTTTATTTTGAAAGACATTTAAAATTCCTCATCTAAAACAAACTTTAGACATTTGTTTAACAATAAATCATCTTAGTAAAAGTAAAAAAGAGAACTTTAAAGTTAACCTATTTGTGACTATAAAAAGGTGATATTCTTGTTTGGACAGACTTTTAAAAAATTGTCACATAAATTAAAACGGAGTATAAAAACGGGGACAAGAAATTGTACCACCAATGACGCAGTGTTTGTTTTGCACCACAACGGTCAACGGCTACTCATTTCATCCTTTCATTTCGCTCACTAGGAAGTTTCTAAGAACCTTCAATCCATAACAGTACACATGGAAATTTTCGGACATGTCCCATATCAACAACGATAATATATTCAATGTATTCTCATAAAGTGAAGGTTTAAAGAAAATAGAGTGTACACAGATTTTACCTTTATCTCTGAGGTGAGTTTGAGAGACTGTTTTATAACTGACCATTGACTCGAGACAGAAAAAAAGACTAGAAAAAGACCTAATAAAAATACAAGAGACAATAAATAGTAACAAGACAACATATAGTAGCAGAACAAAACTACAACCAAATAATACTATAATTAAACAATATGAAACAATAAATATCATAAAAAATCAAACAACATCCATATGCACTTATTCGTACAAAGTGTTTATACTGAGTCAATTAATGTAACTTATCATAGTTGAGCAATATAATGAAATAACTAAAGTTAAGTGATAGTTGTAGATGTTCAAACATGTATCATGCCTCTATTTGCTATAACTACAAATAAGTGATAGTTGTATATGTAAACAATTGTTCAAAAAAATTCACGTTTTCCTCTATATGCTTTGTGGATGTACAATTTTTTTCTTAATTCGCAAAATCCTTAACTATTTTGTTCATTATGCTGTGTATGTATCAACAAATTCACTCCATTCAGGTTGCAAGTGTATTTTCTCCTCTAGTTATGTTCCGTAAATATGAAAATTGTAGCTATGTTTCAAAATTATGTCCTAAACTAAAGCTATTTACGAAAAAAAATTAATCTTGTTCCATTTTTGTCTCTGGTTAGCCCATTCTAGATTTGGGCGCGAGCTACTAACCCGTTTGGCCATAGATTTCTCAAGTAATATTTGGAGAAAAAATTGGCAAATAGTGTTTAAATACAATTCGTCATTATTTGGCAAATATCCCAAATTTCCAAATACTAGTTTTTTCTAGTATTTGAGCCAAATCTCATTATTTGGGATCTTTTAAAAATTGAAATTTTACACCAAACTTTTTTCTTTTACAAAAACACCCTCTATAGTAATTGTTTGAGTTGTATTACATAATTTTTTACGTGAACACCAAAATAGTGATGAAATATTCAATGAATATGAAAGTGATGATATGGTTGTTGATGAAAATTATGAACAATCGGCTCAAGGTAACAAAGTTTATGCTTTGTCTACTTCACCATGTATGGAATGATGCTTGTTGCACTCACTCCAAACTACCACATTGCTCTAGTGTCATGGACACTACTTGTTATTAGTTGCAACGAAGATCCAATTGACTTGTAATACAAACTTATGGTTAGTTTTGATAGTTTTTAAAACTTATAGGTATAAATCATATTTTTCTAAAAAAGTGAAATATGTTCTCCAAATACTATGGCCAAACACATGGTGAAAAATTCACCCAAATATATTTGCCAAGAATATTTGAAAATCTATGACCAAACGCTAGCTAATAGTGGAGCCAAAATGTGGGGAATATGGTGAGGATGAAAGTTGTAGAAAGCACTAGATAAGGTGAAAAAGAAGGGTAAAGTAGTTAAAAAAGAACAAATCCCCTGGTTCCATTACCATCATGTAAAGAAATATACTAATTTTTAGGATGGTAGATAAGGAATTGTTTTAGTGTCAAGCACAAGCATCCTCTCCATTAAGAAAAAAAATGAGATTCCTCTAACCCAAAAGGGCTATCCACTAATGCTTTGTTGTCAGGGCAAGTTACACATTTAGTCGGACGGCCAAAAATAATTATATTCACTTAGTCAGATATACGTTTATCGACTAGTATTTTGATGGGCAGATATACAATTTAAAGCACTAAATAAAACAAAATGAGCTATAGCTTCAATTGCAAAAATTCATAACCCATAAACTTCAAATCCTGACTCAGTCTCTCTACCTATGCTTCTTGTATCTTTGGTCTATTTATGGGAGTGATATTAATGAAGATACAGTTAAAGTATGATGATGAAGGCAGCCAATTATTAAAGAAGATACAGTAAAACTATGATGATGAAGGCACTTTGTAAGTGTAATATATTATTCCTTCTTACTTAAGAGACATTAATAAATGCATGCAATAGGATTTGCGTAAGAAGTAACCTTTCGGCTATATGAAACTTTGCTTCAAAACTCCTCCAACTTTATCTTTTTAATACCACCATCAACGACCCAATTTAACCGTCCCCATTCATGTCTTTTGTCCCCAACTCCAAACTCTTTATAAACATTTATTCCCATTAAAAAATAGTTCATCCACTTCTTGATTTCCTTCACACCACCATACTACTCCTCCACCTTTGGTGTTTTTCTAATATAATGGCGGCTGAGAAAGCAACTTACGGAGCTTGTGAAACCTACAACACCAGTGGTTGCCACGAGGAGTGTGATGATGGCGAGACGAGGCAACAAGATCACAGCAAAGATTCCAGGGCTGAGTACCGGCTTTTAGGCAAAGCATTGGCACATAGAGCTGTGTTTGGTTCAGGCAGCCGTCAAGGAAGAGCCAGAAAAGTCAGGAACATGAATGATCTTAAGACATTGCCCAGCAGGCTAAGCAAAGTTTCCTTAGCTGATGAAGATCAAAATTACTAGAATGTTTCATTTCATCATGTTATGGCATCACAAGTGCCAGTCTAAACAGTAGTATCACATCCTATAGGTAGTCTTGTAAATGTTGTTTGAACCGAATACAAGTATTAAATCGTAATCTATACTACATAAGCTTAGAATAGATATCCAACTAGTGGAATGTAGACCTGCGCTTTTTGCACATTAGTCAACTTGTACCATTGAACATTCATCGAAACAAACACAGAACGCCATTATCACAGGATGAAGGGAAGAAAAAGAGAGAAGAATCACATGTCTCTAGCAGCAGTTGGATTTCAACTAAATATCAATATTATATCATCTAACCTCGCTCTCTGTTTTCCCGTTGAGGCATGAGAATCATAGAGCTACATCTTAAATGCTTCTTTTTTCCTCTTCTTTTAGGAGTTGAGATTGGTAGAACAGAAATAAGAATGCTCCTTCTTTGGTCCCTGAAAGGAGGACCTTCATTTGTTACAAAAAAAGAATGTTGGTCAGAAAGTGGTGTTCCAGTATATTAAGAGTCGATTTTTTGGGTCACGAAAGTTTAAAGATATAAAGCATTTGCATTAAGAGAGGAGAAACTGTCGGTTATGGACAGAAGGGATGGTATATATTCCCTACTTCCTCAAAGCGCCTAGCTCCATTTCACAACATTCCTGCTATAAAAAGCCAAGTCTATCTCCATTCAAATCTTCACCTTCCATCATTGGACAATCATTTGCATCATGGCCATACTGCCCACAACATGGAATGGAGAAACGTCTCCTCTTTCCATAAAAATCCAGTCCATCTCTGGATCCTCTCTCTTTCAACTTTGCCAAATTTATACACTCGTGAAGGTTGCAGGTGAAGCTTTGACCAATGCCTTCAGAATCCTCAACCTCTGCAAGAATCAGTGAGTCTGATGGGCTCTCATATGCAATAGCATTACCCGAATTGGATGCTGTAGGTAACCCCTTAATGCGAGATAAAACTGTAGAAACTTCATCACAAACAACATTGAGGCGTTCTTCGGTTTCAACTGATTCATTAATCAGTGTTGAAATCATGGACTGCAATAACTGAACTTTTCCCATATGATCACTTGGTAGGGAAAAGAGTGTGGGCTTAGCCAAAGAGGATGTAAACTCACGCCAGCGCATGGGCAGATATCGGTCTGGAATGTGAAAACAGTTGTTTGTTGATAGAACACGAAGCACATGCCTGCAGAGAATACCAGTAAACTCAAAGTTATGGCAGCTACAGCTAATGAACTCATCATGTGGAACCCAGAGTACTTTGTAACCCCCACCCATTTCCTTATGGTGTCTCACAACGAAATAACTTTCATCTACCATCAGTGATGCATATTGTGGTGCAAAAACAAGCTCCTCTTGTAGTTTTGAGAAGGCATATGGTGTAAGAACAGTAGCAGCATGAGATTCTATTGGTGAACCTGTTTTCAGGGGAACCTTTTGAACAATTCTCTGTACTTTATGTTTTGCTCCTGCTTGATCTTTAGCATCTACAACCCGAACAACCTGCAGTACGTTAAGTTATCAGAAAAAGAATTGCAGAAGAATCAAACGAGTAATAATTAAACTTTCTAAGAAACAAAAGTTAAACGAAAATCTCACACCTGCTCCACAAAATTACCAAGTACAGATTGAGCACTCAAAAACCTCTGGATAAAAGTATTTATTGTCTCCGACTGAAATGTACTCGTCATTCCAGCAAAAAAGAAAGATCTCAAAAAGGGCAGTGCCCAGTATGAACGTAAAGCATATAGACTGGCAATGTGTTTATTTCCATCCAGCCGGTAGGTTTCGATCATCTCATTCCATCCCACTTCATATTCCTCAATCGAATGTAAATTGTAGAGGCGATGGAACTCAGCCTTCCAATTATCATATTGGGATCCGAGAAGTGTCGAAAACCATTCTGAAAACCTCGAAGTTATATTCCAAATGCAAAATGCATGTTTTACTCTTGGTATTTCAGTGGCAATTGCTTCTTTGAGCCACAAGTTTTGATCAGTCAAAATGGTTCCTGGAGTCTTGCCGTTCATGAAGCCCAAGAATGTCTAGCATAAATTTTAGAGAAGCAAATCAAAACAAAGGGATTTCATATTAGCATGGAACCACAGGAGTTGCAAGCTATGGATAGAAAGATGCATCTCAAAGATATCTGCAATTGTTACAGCTAAGTTTGTAGCTTATGCATACCAGAATGGAACTGAGATGGCTAGACCTTATGCCCGTAACAAACATATGTACAAACAAAAGATGATAAGGAGAGGGGATGATTGGTAAAAGGATATAAGTAGTGAGTTTTGTATCATTAAACAGAAAAGAGGAAATTCAAAGAAAGATTACAAAGCCAAGGTGAAACATCGTCATTGGGATAAAGCGAGTCAAGCAAATTATAAAGCTCAAGCCAACAAATGGATAATAATTTATTAAGCAAGAGATTTTCCAACTAGCTGCAGCATGCAACATATTCTTTTATTTTTGATGAAGAAAATGATATATTCTTCTTATAAGCTTGAAACGTGTTGTGTATATATATCAGCTGCACAAAGCCTGTGCAACAACTAATTTACCCCTGCAAGATACTCATACTTTTTATGATTTGGGTACAGCCGAACAAACCCTCTTCATCTTCCATTTCTGATGCCTCAGAAGTATTTGGCAACTTAAATATGACCTTTTGTATTTCAAGAATCAAACAACATTACTCAAATTTGGAATCTGATCTAATGAACTTCTTTGTTAATATACTTGCACACTAATTACAAAATTTAGTTCAATAATTTCCTCTACCACCAATTTATACAGTTATCCGAACTAGCTCCATAACATCTGAACTGATGAATAATCCTTTTTTCCTTCTTAACATATGAAGTAGTAAGTAAGAGCAAGGAGTAAACACATATTTTTTGCACTAGTTTCATCAGTATTTTCTGGGAACTCTCGCGGACTCCTATTGTTAGGCACATGATAGGCATTTCAAGCACTTGAACATTTTGGGTACTGGAAAATTAAGTGGGTTTAAAGAAAATTCAACACTTAATAAATGCAATTAGTATAATGGTACAGTAACAAGATTGCACGGCTTCATACCTTCAATGCCCAGGAGAACGACCGCATATTTTCATCCCGAAGGAGTACACAACCAAAGAAACAATGACTCCCATGGTTATCCACTCCAATCCATATCCCAAGAAGCATATCATAGGCATCCAAGCGGTGAGTAGTGTCAAATACTATGGCATCACCAAAATCCTCATACAACCTCATTGATGAAGCATGAGACCAGGCAATATGCTCCAACCTGTTATTACAATCTATCTTATAGTCGTATTTGAATTTCAGGTCTTTGTCTTTCATCTCCTTGCACATTTTGAGAAGATCAATAGGGTCGTTATCCTGGTCCACATTTCTAAAAGATTGTAGGAAGTTTCGGACATCGACCTCTGTGAAGGGTAAACAACCCAACTTAGTTCCCTTCTCTAGCTCCATCAACCTCAGCATTTGCCGAACTGACATCCCAGCTTTCGCAAACAAGCAAATGCGACTCTTGTCATCAGGAGACATGGTGCAGTAGGCAGGAATAAGCTGCATCTCAGTTGACTTTAAAAGTTCATGGTTATGAACATTGCTGAAACCTGTAATCCGCCATTCGGGGACATTAAGATCTGCTCTTTTAACAATTCTCATGAATGCCTGGCACCCACAACGTGATGATTTTCGATTCCTTTGCAGCTTGCCATCTTCTGAAGGCTTTAGTTGTGGATAGCCACCACGATGGCATGTAAAATCCCTTCTTGTAATGCCCCTACCAACTCCATCCTTCCCCCGAGTACGATGACGTCTAATTGAGAAGCCGCATTGCTTTGCAAAGCTACAGTAAAATTCATATGCAGCGTCCTGTGATACAAACCTCTGACCACTGAAAGGTATAAGGTTCACAGACGTTTGTCGTGATAAGATTGTGTCCTCAGGCATTTCCTCAACGGTGCCAGTATCATCCTGAGATGAATCTGTCCCATTTTCAGATGTTTCTTTTGCTATGTTTGTTATCTCGGGCATTTCCCAATTCTAGAAAAGTCGGATTATGGATATGATAATACCATCTTCACATACTATATATGCAGCCAATAATGCACAGCGAGCCAATGTTGCGGAGAGGAGAGAAAGACACAAAGAAATGATATGGATCAGAAGGCAAAAGCACAAAACTGAAAACAAAAGAAGGAGTCTAGTGTCATGAAGGTTCTGAACCACTTAGATTATCATTGAAGTGCTAAAAATTAAGGCATGATCGTCACAATTATTATCATGCAGCCTGTAAAAGGATATCTATTAGCAACTCTCACCAATACAACGAATTATTACAGGCAGAAAGCAGGCTTCAATTTATCAAATACTCTGTGAAGAGCAACTATACCGTGTTACATGGATCCTTCATTTGCCTTGATATACCCATATCTAAACGTACTTCACGAGGATTTTTCATAATACAATAAAAATAGTCACAAAGACACTAAACATATCAATATGCTTATCCATAATCAAATCTGAACATAGATAATACCCAGGGGAACTTGTAATCACTCCTTGTAGTGAACTCTTGACAGCATCTCTTGTAGTAGACATGTTAAAGAACTGGTTCTTAAATAGTTCTTTGTCATAACTACTACCCGTTCTATTTGAGACATGTATGATATTTGGTTCTTGCATATGTTTGTTACTCCCTCTGTGACACACTTACCTTTCTAGTAAGTCTAAAAAAATGACACATTTGTATATTTAGTAGTAACAATTTAACTTTAAAATGCTCATTTCACACTTAAAAGATGATTATAGCCACACAAATATCTATGGCTTATTTTAGACGACAAGTTTCAAAATTCTTTCTTTCTTTCTTTCTTAAACTTCATGCCACGCCAAACATCACATAAATTGGGACAAAGTGAGTATGTCTTACTAATCATTTGTTAATCATCAAAACTTCATCTTGTTAGCTTCATTTAGCTCTCAGGTAGCCTCTTAAGGAGACAAAACAATTTGGAGAAGAACTGCCGAAATTAATCAATACTACTACTTGTATTTTTAGTAAATTAGTTCCTAAAGTAAAATAGAACACGAATACCATGAATGCTTTTGCACTGGCGCAGTAAGCCATTTCAAGTCGCTCCATTAATATATCAATATTTCAAATTCCAGAAAAGCATAGTACAATAAATCAGATATCAGAAAAGGAAATTTTCACAAATAATCAGCACAGCACATACAATGAGCCTGAATAGAGCAAAACAGATACAGAATATTGACATATTTGATTATCTAGTTTGTGATTATGGCATAGAACAATAGCTAGCACAGCCGGCCTGGCACATAAATCAGCTACGATACCAAATTAAGCTTCAAATACCCAAACACTCTATCTAGACACGCTAAGAAAATAATAACAAGAATACCTTGTGTTGGAGAAGGCGAACACGAACGCCGGTGGGAACCACGGCGGAGCGGCACGGAACTGGCAGAGATGGAGTAGCCGGGAATCGACTGAGCAACTATGAGATTTGAGTAAAAGCCAGGTTTACCCCGTAGTCCAGTTTTATATGTTAGGGCAAAAATGTAAATATGTAGCCTTATCTCCTTATATGATCTGCTCCGCGAGCCAAAAGGAATATTTTAATAAAAACCATACAAAGGGTATTCTAGGAAAAAAGATTTAAATATCTCTTGGAAGGTGACATGAACAACGTAGAGATTAGTTATGCAAGGATTAGTAATGCAGGGATTAGTAGTGCAGAGATTAGTAATGCAGAGTTTATTTTTATCAAGTGTTTGGTTCATTATTTCCCATCCCATCTTGTGTTTGGATTAAAACTCTATAAAAAGTTTATTTCCAATTATACCCTTGAATTATTAGGTAACTGGGTCAAGGTAGATAATTGTCGAATAAAATTATTTTTGTATGTCCTTCTAACTAGCTATGAGAAGAACAATTTTGTTATCATGTTTGTTATTTTTTCACTTGAATTATTTGAGGATAAATAATTGTCATCTTAATAAATTGATCACTCACAAAATGTCATTTTTCAATTTAAAAAAGATAAACCATCTACTTTTAAAATCGAAAAGACGGTCATCAATGGTAAAATTGAATAAACCATCTACATTTACACATAAAAATTGCAAGTTGTAGTTTTAATATGTATGTTTTAAATACTTCAAAATACAAATAATTAGAAAATCACACAAATATATATATATACACACACGCACATTCAATTAAGATCACAAAAGTCATATACTCACATTTCAAATTTGTATTGGATTTATTTAGTAACAAACAACTCTCTCTAAATAATTTGTAAGCTAATTTATTTAAATAAATTTACTAGTACAAATATAAATTATAAAATCAAGAAAATAAATAAAATAATTAAAATGATTTGAGGGATATTTTTGTCTTTACATAGGCTTATCCCATGATATTATTTCCTATGTATTACTAATACCTCCAAATGGAAGGTATTAGTAATACACCATATAATACCATGTATGCGGTATAACTAATCCATGGATTAGTTATACATAGGTCCAAATTCCTACCAAACATAGTATTAAATAATACCTTACCTAATATGTGAATTATTTCTTCTAATGCGGACTATCAAATGACCCCTTAGTAAACAATGTCAAAATGACATATCGGGTCTCACATAAAGTGTTTAAAATTATTTTTTTAAATTAAAGTGTCTAAGTTAAAATTGGCGTCAACTTCAGCTCACCGATGGATTCAATCTCCAAGCAATAGAGAAGAAGTTGGGGTTTTGAATTGTGATGGGTTTATTTTTTGGTTAAAAGACCAAAATGTCTTTCCTATTAATGAGTTTCAATTAACTATCAGGAATACTTAAAAAGATGGATGCAACGCGCAAGACCTGTATATTTGTGTGAGAAGGAAAAATTTAATTTGAGGTGAGTTTTGACGAAGACTCAAGGTTTGAATAGTCATTTATTTGAAAGAGATTAAAACATCTCAAATATATGAAATCATAATTTGAAATTATCATATGAATTTAAAGTTTTGTTTTGACATGCAGTTTGAACTTTTTATGTTGTATGTTTTATCATAAACATAAAAACTCCACAAGTTGTATAACTATTAAAATTATATTGTCTCAATTCTTTATACAATCTTACCAAATAAGCAAAAGTTTATAATATCTCATAATACATTATCACAAAGATATTTTTTAAAAATACAATGTTTATTGATCAAGCTTTAATTCAATAAAAAAAATTAACAATTAAACATATATAAGTTGTGGTGTACTAGTCTTTAATATAGTCCTCCCACATGGTACGAACAATCTTCTCACGTCATCTTGCATTTCTTATTCATATAACTGAGAAGACGAACCAATATTGTTACTTTGAGCCATTTGTTGATCAATTTGATTGGTAAATAAATTTGATAAAAAATAATGAATTTGGTGAATATAAATGGTAAAGTAGAAATTGATTTGAAATAATAATAAATCCTATGTTAGTGAGAATAATCATTATATGAGATGTAAATGGTTTAAAAAGTAAAGAAATGAATTATAAATTCTATTTACATATGAAATAAATGTGGGGTTGTTTTTACAAAATATAAATTTGTGGGTCAATTTTTGTATTTGAAAAATCTCAAATCATGTTTTTTGGAGAATTTGAGATTTCATCTCGTGATATAAAATCATGTGATAAATCAACGTGAAATCACTTGTCCAAATGCTGATTTCAAATCGCGATAAGAATCCACCTATATTAAATGATGAAACAATTGTGTTATTCTAGATGTAAAATCAGTTGAAATTTGTTGCAGCAATTTTGAAATAAAAAAGTGAACGTTAAACGATAAATACATTGTTGTCTTTTGAATACATTCGGACACAAAATGAAGCATTGAAGAACTAGGTATGAACAAATGATTTTTAGTTGTTTTGACTAATCTGAATGGATCGAATTATTAATATCTTAAAAAAATTTCGTTGATCACCTAGTTTCCGGTAATTGTAGTGGACTTCGACTATTTTGTGTTAACATTGTGTAGGCCCCATTCAAGAGGATACGATAAGGATTTTTTCATAACCCAAATTCAAACTCAAAATTTTTAATTAAAAATTGAACAGTTTCATCCACTACAACAGAAATTTCTATGGTGTCAACTAGCTAAAATGTCTTGGGAAGTATAATTGGTGTTGGAGACTGGTGTTTTGTGGGCATGAGTGTCTTTGACCAAAATTAGTGGGTTGACAATCTTTTACATTATCAATATATTTGAATCAATCACGCTATATTATATTTTGAGGTTAATTTTATCAATGGTCACTAAGTTTAGTCTCCAAGAAAATTTAAATTATTTTCAATTCGTTAACGCACTTAACGGTAATTTAAAACAAAAGGCATAATCAATTTTCTCCGAGTAATAAGTCTAAATTCAACACTTAAAAGGAAATAACAAAACCAAAACATTTTCCAAATCTAAATAATTCCTTTTGTTTCAAAAAGAAAAAAAGAATGACTTGATTTGACTTGACACAAAATTTAAGAAAATAAAGAAGAATTTTCAATTTTGATTTTCCAAATTAAAATTGTATCAAAAATAATAAAATATTTTTTAAACTTGCGATCTTAAACATGTCACGTGAAAATAATAATTTTGGAACTTCAATGACTATGTTCAACGAATATTCTGAATAATGTGCATGAAATTCTTATAGTCATATCTATTGATTTTAATTAATTTAAGTATTAATCATCACTTTGGATACCCTTTTGGTGTAACTAGAATAATTGTGGACTTTTCTGATCATGGCCAACCAAAATTAATTATGATTACTTTTAAGGTGACAAGATCGATACCATCGAGGTTGGCACGACATAATAATAAATCCCAAGCACCATTATTTTCAAATGTCCATAAAATTAATTTTAACACCATAGTACCAAATAGTCATAAAAACACCCTATTTAAATAATGCTGCAAATAAATAAATAAAATTAAAGTGTCATCGAGTACTGGGTTACCACCATTACAGAATCTAATCAGAAAAAAAAATATTTGCCCAATTACAGCTAAAGTTCTGTTCCTTGTTACAGGTGTCTCACTTTCTTTTTTTTTGAAAAAAAAATGTTTTCTGTACTATAGTTTATTTAGAAAGCCTATTGCAATAATACCATTTCACATTCCCAAATGTATTCTTGAATTTTTCTATATCCTCTCGGCAAGTTTACATTTTGCACTCTTTTATATAATATATAGTCTACGATTACATATGGAAGAGTTCCGGCCGAGTTTCCGGTGCTCCGATGACCGGAGATTGGAGATCGTAAGCGGAAAGGGGTTCAACATCAATCAGGTAATTAGCAACACAAATGTTCAACTGAATCTAATACTTGTTTTATATTATCCAAAGATAAATATATGTACATGCAAATAAAAATAATAATTAGTTTTGAACCTATAATTTTGATGAACTTTAAATAACACCCCTTATCTTGCGAAGCTAGGGGTGGGGGTTTATTTGAGTATCTACATGGTCAAAATAAGCTTATCTAAATGTTGGTCCATTAAATATAGTTTTTTCATGTTTTTACATTTTGAATTTTCTTAATGAAAATTTTGTTTCTGCTGCTGTTCACCTATATAGGTAAATCGGGCTCGGTCACCGGATCTGGCTGGGGTAACGAGCAAGGGGACGTGGCCGAGTCAGGTGGCAGCAGCGCCGTCGTCGAATAAGCCATGGGGATTCAATGATCCAGAGATGAAGAGACGAAAGAGAATAGCTAAGTACAAAGTTTACACTATTGAAGGAAAGGTCAAAACTACAATTAGAAATGGACTAAGGTGGTTCAAAAATAAATGCTCTGAAATCATCCATGGATATTGATTAATTATCCTTTCCGACTCTACTAACACGAGATGTTTTGTGCATCAAAATATCCTGTCTGGTCTCTTCTTTCTCAAAATGATCTGATTGAGGAAGGTGGAAAACATAGAGGTGGCAGGTCTAATTTCATATATTAGTACTTAGGATGTTTTTTGTATTTTTTTTTTTCAAATTGAAATTCTAATTTGTTTGCATGTCATTTAATCATGTTTAACAATTGAGATTATTTTTTCCTTAGAAGCTTTAAGTCATTATTCCTCTAGTTAATGGTTTGCCAACATTTGTTGTTATGATTTTTCATGCCTTTTTTGATTAGCAAAACTATGAAATTGATTTATCATTTTTCAAAATATAGGTAACTTTAATACATTGACTTTGACAGTAGATTTATAAAATTGAAAACCCAACTTGGGCTAAAATTGGCAATGAATATGATTTTGATTTGCAACTTTTTTTTTTTTTTTGTCATCATAATAATTGGTTTGGAACTTCAAGTTGACCAAACTGGCCATCAATTTGAAGGATCAAAGATACTCTAATTTTAGTCTTCAATTATTATTTTTTTAGCTTTCAATTTGTTTCAGTTTATAAGCCAAACAGAAGAAGTGGTTTGTAATGATCCTGAAGGTTATTTTTATGATTTTTGGTTCTTTTTCCATATTTAATCCTTCACATAGTTTTGATTAGCTGTTATGAATTGCAAGGATGGGTGACACGATTTAATATATAGAAAACATATGTCATGAATCGATTAAGTCAGTGCAAACATCGAGTAGTAGGATAGGAGAGTAGAAATGAGGTATCTAGTAAAATAGGAGTGCAACAATTGTATCTTAACAAAAAAACTCTCTTAGATTTGGATACATATTCTTTAATTACGATGTGATCCATCGTATTTTCCTTAGCACATTTAAAACAAACATAATGAAAGAATAATTCAAATATTTTGGATTTTCTTTCACTAGTTTCTTGATGTAGAAAAAATAAATTCTGCTCCTTTTGGAACTAATTAACAGTAGATATCTAAGAGACATTAAAGCAAAAGGCAGTGATATTTCTACGTTAATTCTGAAATATTATGCCTTTTGCCAAAAAAAACGTACTTAAATTAAATTAAGTATTACTACTACAAAATGAAGGAAATTAATTTGATTAGGTTCCGTTCATGCCTTCTATGTGTTTGATTAATTGCCTGAATCACTTTTGAAGCCTCATTTGTTCGTAAAATTGAGCAATGAAATTCTCTGCCTTTGCATCAATCATGTCATCTCCTCCAATTGCATCAAATACCTGATCAGGATCTTCCTCCTCCTCCTCATCGTCGTCGTAGAGATCTTGTAGATTATTTGCTGAAGCATATTGACTCATGGTGCCAATGGAGGACGTTGATGGGGTTGGAGAGTACAACGACGAAAAATGTTCACTGAATTCTACAGGTAGTGATGTAGATTTCACCGGTGGTGGTGGTTGCGGGTCATGAGGACTCGGTGGTGATTGGTTGTCTTGGAGATGTAAAGGCCTCATGGACCCTACCAGTTTTTTCCAATTTTCTCCCTTTGAATCAGCAGGGGGAGCGGGTTCCTGTATTACGTATTCAGAATTTAAAATAAGTGAATGTACGTACATACGACTATATGTCTACAATAATGAAAATTTTCTAGCGTACCGGAGTAAATTTCTGTTGCTTTAGATCAAGGGAACGACGACGAAGCTTGAGTGATGCAGCTCTAAGGAAGCCAAAAGCACCCTGTTTTTTCTTCTGTTTGACAATACTGTTGTCAACCGGAGATTTATTATTGTTGTCAATGTTCATGTTGGTGTTGGTTGAGTTCATGACTACCTCTTCCGTCATTCTATGGAGGAGAATGTTCCACGAAAAATATGGCTTCGCTCTGTTTGTCAACGAACGATGGTGCACGTAGTTATTAATTTGCCCTCCCTGCAATGCAGGTCGAGTTGTTTATAGAGACGTTGCGAAGAAATGAACCTTCTTTTGTTGTATATATATAGAGATGCTATAAAAAGGGAAGGTAGAATTTGTAGTGTTTGGTGTTTGATACTTTGTTGAATAATTAGTTACGGTATAACTATATAACCACCTCAGGATATTTGTGTGGTTTACAACCTAGCTAGCTAGGAATAAGTTGGAACATAAAACTACTAGAATGCCTATTATAACCATAAGAAAAAAAAGAAAGACTTATTTAACTCAGGTTCTGAAACAAGTTATTCTCTTCGATCCAAAATAGTGGACAAGGTTCGAAAGGTACATACTTTAAATTTATGATGTGCACCTAATTACCAATACATCATACATTGCGCATCTAGCCTTGTAACATTATTAAAACTCAAGATCACTTATGTTGGATGAAAGAAGCAAAACGCTTTATCACATCTTTAGCTTTCTCAACTTGAAGATTCTTTACAAAGAAGCAATGTTCTTCACCTTCAACTCAAGAAACTCCAATTCACCATTCCATCCACTTTTCTTCACACCTTCAACAAATCGAATCATAATTTCTCGAGGAACCAATACATCTTGCTCAGCTATAACCATAAATAACCGCGAGCAGCCTAGGCTCGATAGACTTGGAGCCTTTTCAGCAAGTGGATTAATCATTGGACTATCAATTGGCGAGTATCTATATTCTATTTGACATATGGTGATCCAAAGTTGGTAAGCCAGATTATTCTCCATATCAAGACTATCGTCTTGCATCAAAAAGAAGGGACACGCAAGAATACAACCCATTATTTTAACGTCTCCGTTTAAACTTTCTTTGCCAGCTCTCATAGCCATGTGATAGGCTATGTTACCTGTTACAAAAATTATATAAGCGAGGGTTGCTCAAATGGTAAGCAACTTCCACCTTCAACCCTGAGGTTTTAAATTCGAGTTATCAACGGAGCAAGAAATGTGGAAGGGGTTCGAGTCATAAGCGAGGTGGGAGCTTCTAGAATGAAGTTAAAAAAACACAAAAGGCATGAACTTATAGAGGTTAAAAAAAATTGCTTTGTATATATAAGGTATTTTTTTTAATGTATTTATATAGATTTTGAACCTTTTGTACAAAAGATTAGAGGTTGCTTAGCCGTTCAAGAGGGATTCAAAATTCACCTTGAGGTGTCAAGTTCAAATCTCAAATTCTCTTCTTCTTTATATATATATTACGAGTCTAAAATTGATTGGGAATGGACTTCAAGTTAGTTAAAAGAAATAATTTTGAATTTTGTGACCTAATTTAAAAATGAAGACAATCTACTATAATGTCATTTGAATACAATAATCTTAAACATGACAGATGAGATGTTATAATTAATCAAAAGTTGGAAAAAAAAAACGAAAAAAAAAGCTCTGACTTCTCTCTTACTTTTCTCTCTCTAAACAAATTAGCCGTTGTTTATACCATTGCAACCCAGGTGACTTTCGACCGTCGGACGTATGTCCACCACCGTGGACCTCTCAGTCCTCGGTGACCGTCGTAGACTAACCGCTCCTCAAACTAAAGAGATCTCCTCCAAACTAGATCAGTTTCCCCCACTTCCCTCTAAGGTTTGGAACAAAAACTTCTGTCAAAATCCACAAAACTTTGTTCCTCCAAACCAAATTCTTCCTGGTGTCGTTCCGGTGAGCAAAGCAATGGAAAATCCAAAACCTACATATGCCAACCTTGCAACCAATCGTAGTTCCAGAAACTCAAGGATCAGACTACAACCCAAACCTCATGAAATCCAAAATGGAAAACCTGTGGTATCCTTCTCTAAAGAGGAAAATGAGATGCTGGCTCAAACGTGCAAATGGGCCATTATAGGTAAATTCTCTCAAATCCGTCCTTCTATTGATATCATCCGGAGAGAATTTACTAAAATCATTCCGGGTAAAGGAAATATTAAGATTAGAGCCTATGATATGCATCATGTATTCCTAGATTTTGACAACATCGAGGACCACCTCAATGTGCTTTCTAGAAATTTTATACACTTGGGAGGCCTAGATATTATGAAAATTATGAAATGGTCGACAACCTTCAAACCGAATTCCGACCACTCTCTGGCACCAGTGTGGGTGAATCTGCCCGACTTGAAATGGCACCTCTTTGAGTGGGATGCCATTTGTCGAATCCTTGAACCGATTGGGACCCCTTTACTGCTTGATAAAGCCACCCTAACCAAAACTAGACCCACCATTGCGAAGGTAAGGGTGGAAATAGATCTGACCAAACCTTTTATCGACGAAGTGATCTTGGAAATTACTAACAGGGATGGACTGACTGAGATGATCAACCAAAGAACTGAGTATGAAACCATCCCAGCATTCTGCTCTGTCACGACCCAAGCCTAGGGCCTAGACGTGACATGGCGAATGAGGAACCCGAAGGAACCCCAAACAAGTCTCTCAAACTTGTCATCACACTTCATCGGTCGCGGAAGTACATTCAACATTAATTAACGGGAAATAGGGACTAAGGGCAAACCATTTCAAAATGACATCATAGAACAAGAGTCAAGCTCATTTACAAAATACTCGTCCAACGCACACCTCTACATACATAGATAGGACGGGGCCATGACATTCTACCGGCTCCCCTCATAGTCAAAATACAATTGCAAGCTAAAGTCTCAAAACATAGGAGTAGAAAACATCACATAGCCCTCGAATCATTGAGGACTCACCAACAACTCGGATAAGCACCGTACTAGCCACGTGAATGAAGAGAAGGATCAAGAGTAACTCCGGTCCCTACATGGTGACATCATGTAGGCAAAATATGCGTTAGTACTTGGAATGTACTAAGTATGCGGGGTGCAACACAACAATAGACAAGGACACAATCGAAATACAAGAAATAGTTTCATAGGCATTATGAATAACAATATGAGGATACATGATCAAAGTGAAGTCAAAACATGTTTAAGTAACTCTATACTAATAGTAGATATCATATGTGTATACATGATCCAACCAATTTATAACCCCAACTTAGGATGGGGGATGCCGTTCACACCCGGACACCCTGGTGGCAAGGTATAAACCCCTCACATGGTTGATGTTGGTCACACCCCAAGCATCCTAGGTGGTGAGATATAAACCTCTCACATGGTTGATGTTGGTCACACCCCAAGCATCCTAGGTGGTGAGATATAAACCTCTCACATGGTTGTCCGGTTCTTTTCCCCCGGACCGGGCATGGTCATGCAACACTTTATATAGGAAATTCTCATTAGGCTCTAATGCAATCTCACGTATGAAATGAACATATACACAAGCTTAGTTTGTCATCAACACATCTTTGGAGTTCCATACTTCTCATAACTCAAGCTTTAAAGCATCAATTTATCAATTCTCCATAGTTGGACATTTTGTCAAACACCTTGAAGGCATGTAATGGAATCAAAGAGCATGGGAAATAGGGTAGTAATTATGCAGCCAAACCAATGAACAACCTACAACAACACCTTTTTAACACCCACAATACCACATGAAAATCTCCACATCCATTCCAAATTTAGGTTCAAGTTCTAGGGTCACAACATGCTCAAAACAATCACTTTTCATGTTTAAAATTCAATGTGTAGGAAATTATTACAAAGAACAAGACTAATATATGAATCTTAACTTAAACCATGAATTAGTGAGTAGAATAGAGTCTAGGCACTATGGGTGGAAGGACTCATGAGTTCAACATCACATACCTTGAGTTCTTATGAAGGTCTTGAGAGTGTCTTCAATGGAAGCTTGCAACTTGGGACAAGAGTCCCTTCAATCTTGAGGAAGGTTTTGGATTAGGGTTCTTGAGAGAACTTGAGAGAAAATGTGTCTAAGTATGGGAGAGGTGTTTTGGAAATGTTTTAGAGATGAAATTTGAACTAATGCTATATAGGAAATAACATATGCCCTTTGGAAGAAAATTTCGTCCAACACTTAGAAAAAAAAAAAGGGGCGGGTGAACAGTAAGAAAGGCTACTGGAAATTGCATTCCCTGCCGGACAGACTTTACGAAAATGGGCATAACTTCTTCGTCCGAACTCCGAATGAGGTGAAACGAAGTGCGTTAGATAGCTAACTCAAAGGGTTTTCCATGGATATATTATTGGCCACCAAATAATTTGTGTGCTAGGAGATATGACCCTCCAAAGTAGACCCTCGAAAAGGCTTCACTTGAAAATTTCGGATTTTGATACGGTTGCTCTAAAATTTGGGTTAGACCCATTTCTCACTCAATTTGACCCCCTAAACAAGAATATGAAGTCAGATTTTCGAAAAACGAAACGGATTTTGAGATATATGGAAATTACAATTATAGGTGTTTCCGAAGCACATTTTCGGACATTTTTGGGGTCGTTTCATGCTCGCACTGTAAAATGCAAGGTCATAGAGATGAAAATTGCAGAAAGCTTCATCCTAATTTACAAACCAATGAGGCGGAGAATACACTCAGTGAGCAAAAAACAATGCAAGCTACCACCAATGTGGAAGTTACAACAGATACCACTAATTTGATGGATAGAACAACTCAAAACTCAAAGGAGAGTCCAGACGAAATCAATGAGGAACAAGAATGGCAAACAGTGACCAACAGGAAAGGAAAATACATCAACAAGAGCAACTCAAATGGAAAGATATCTCAAACAAATCAAGACAGAGGAACAAGTAGCAGCTCAGAAATTAGCAAGATGCGGGTTTCCAGTATCAGCAGTGAAATAGTAAACCTATGTCTTTCCGAACCCACCAATAAAGGAACGGAGGATATGGAAGTTACTACTCACAACGAAACGATACCAGCAGAAATGAATTTTTCCAAGAGCAACACTTTGAGAACCCCTACCAAAAGAAAGGAAAAAAAAGCTGAAAGAAAAGAAAGGAAAGCACATCACCTTCAAATCATCAAAAACAACACTATGAAGGTGAAACACAATAAGGAAACTGCGTATTTGGAAGTTAAGTTAGATGATCAGATTACCAGTCAACTTGTTGAGGTGGTAAACTCTGAAAAAACAAAGAATCTCAACAAGAAAAAGAAATTTTCATCCATTGTGCAGATCCCCCCAGATATAGTCTTCGATAACAAGGATTCTGTTTCAGTGGAGATCCACCAACTCAACTCCTCAACTGCTCCCTTTTTTGGACTAAATCAAAATCCACTAGAAAATATTACAGGGAGGAAGGCGAAAGAAAAAGAAAAGTTAAGCTTGCCGGATGACCCTAGATCTAGGAACAAGGGTCCTCAAGGCGAATTCATTACTCCAACCCACAATGAGAGTCATGAAGACTCGACTTTCAAAGATTGCGAAGAAGATCTGTACATGATCAATGTAGAGGAAGAATACTCAACAGCCCTCTCTTATGATGAAGCTATCAGAGGTGACATACCTTCTCTAACTTGTGTAGTTGTTGATCAATCTAACCAGGTGCACCACAAGGTAGAATACTACAACAACCTCTCTCTTAGAGGGAGAATAGACCATCAAAATAAATTATCCCTTCCCCCCACTGTTTCCCATGATTAATACTATATCATGGAATATTAGGGGAATAGGATCCCAAGGTTCTCTCGAGAGACTTAAGAAGCTCAAACGTCAACATAAATTTCTGTACATGTTCCTACAAGAACCAAAGATGGACTCGAGGAAAATTGACAAATTCAAAAGGAGATTAGGGTACACTTTCTGTTTTCATAACTGCTCCAACAAGATTTGGATTTTTTGGTCTAAAGATTACATTATTGACATTATTGAAGATCGAGAACAACATGTGCTTATCCATATTTCGCATCAACACGAGCCTGTTAACTTTCACATATCGGTTATCTATGCTAAATGTGAGGAGCTCCACATAATTCCTCTCTGGAATGAGCTTAGGGACATCTCTAATAGAATCTCTGGCCCCTGGGGGTTGTAGGAGATTTTAATGTTATCACAGGACCAGAAGAAAAAATAGGAGGTCTGCCCTACAGAATTGAAGAGAGTCTTGATTTTATATCTTGTTTGGAAGATTGTGATTTGCAGGATGCTGGATATCTTGGGTCAAAGTTCACTTGGAGTGACAATAGAGACCCGCCCAATACAATCTGGAAAAGGCTTGACAGATTTGCTTATAACAGCCACTGGTTTGATGTTTTTAATGGGACCACGGTTACTCATCTCTCTAGAACTTTCTCTGACCATGCCCCCCTCTTAATGAATTGTAGTCCTGTAAATGTTAACTTTATTAAATATTTCAGATTCCTCAATTTTTGGACTGAAAATGATGACTTTCTTGGTGTTGTACAGGAAGCTTGGTCTCAAGATCAAGAAGGAAACGCCCTTCAAGTCCTTCATAAAAAACTCAAGGCCACTATCAAAGCTCTTAGTGCATGGTCTAGAATAGCTTATGGAGACTTTCATGAAGAACCTAAGAAACTAGAAAATATTATTAAAGACCTGGAAGAGAAATCCATCAACAATAATACTCCGGAGAACAGGATAAACCTTTCTAAGGCTAAGGTTGAATTCACTAGATTCTTGAAAATTCAAGAAAAAGTCCTAAGCCAAAAGGCTAGGATTAAATGGCTTGAAGATGGTGATACTAACTCTGCTTTCTTCCACAGGGTAATCAAGGATAAAAGAAAAAAACTCTCCATACACAAAATCAAAGATCACGATGGTAATTGGGTAGAGGGAACTACTCAAGTTGCTGATGCTGCAGTCAATTTTTTCACCAATCTATTCAAAGCTGAGCCCACTGAGGAATATAGTAATATTTTTAATCTCGTAAAAAGGGTTGTCACCATTGAAGACAACAACAACCTTAATGGCTTGTCAACCCTCCAAGAGATCAAAGACATTATTTTTTCAATTGATCCTGACAGCGCCCCTGGGCCTGACGGACTAAATGGAAAATTCTACCAATCAACCTGGCAAATCATAGCAGCGGACCTCTATGCAGCAATCATTTCATTCTTTCAAGGTGCTATCCTTCCAAAAATTTTCTCCCTCACTTGTATAGTGATGCTTCCTAAAGTTAATTCTCCTCAAGATTTTTCTGAGATTAGGCCTATCAGTCTTTGTAATACTTCGTGCAAGATCATTGCTAAATTGATCAATAAAAGGCTTTCCAAAATTCTTCCTAATATAATTAGCCCCAACCAAAGTGGTTTTGTTAAAGGGAGAGCTATTACTGAAAATATCCTCTTTGCCCAAGAAATTGTCAATGATATCGGCAATTCTAATTTTGGGGGGAATGTAGTTATTAAACTAGACATGTCTAAGGCCTACGATAGAGTCTCTTGGTCTTTTTTGTGCTTTATTTTGAGGAGGTTTGGTTTTGCTGAAAGTTGGATTGATCTTATTTACAGGTTCATCTCCAATAATTGGTATTCTGTTCTTGTGAATGGAAGTAGCCAAGGTTTCTTTAAATCTGGGCGGGGTCTTAGACAGGGAGACCCCCTCTCCCCTAGTCTCTTTGTTCTCTCGACAGAATTACTTTCCAAGATGCTTAATTCTCTATATAGAGTCCCTGCTTTTAGAGGGTTTTCTATGCATCCATATGGTCCTTAAATTAACCATCTCTCTTTTGCAGATGACACTATCGTTTTCAGTAGCGGAAGAAAAGCCACTGTTCAAGCTATCCTTAAAACTCTAGAAAGCTATGAACGAGTCTCTGGACAATTAATCAACAACAACAAATGCTCCTACACCATGGCTCCTACCACCCCTCTTATCTCTATCAAAAGGGTTGGAAAAATTCTACGTATGAGATACGAGCATCTTCCTATTAAATATCTGGGATGTCCCATATATAATGGGAGGAAACTCCTCGAAATCTTCACTGATCTGATCTGTAAAATTACCAATAGAATTAAAGGGTGGCATCTTAAATTGTTGTCTACAGGAGGAAGAACGACTCTCGTTAGGCATGTCCTGCTTGCCCTAAATGTTCATTCTTTGGCAGCAGTCCATCCCCCTAAAGGCACCCTTGAGGTGATTGAGAGGTACCTTACTCGGTTCTACTGGTCAGGTAATGAGGAAGATAAGAAATATCACTGGGTTTCTTGGGAAAATCTTAGCTACTCGTACAATGAGGGGGGATCAAATTTTAGAAAACTCGAAGACACTTGCAAGGCTTTCACGGCTAAACAATGGTGGAGATTCAGAACTACTGAATCTCTTTGGACTAATTTCTTGAAGGCCAAATATTGTAGTGTTGATCACCCTACCTTGTCCAGTGGAAACCAGGGCAGTCTCATAGTTGGCAGGCAATGCTGAAAATTAGAGAAGAGGTGGAACAAGAAATTTTTTGGAAAACTAACAGGGGGAATTCTAGTTTCTGGTTCGATAAATGGAATGAACTTGGTCCGTTATACGAACTCTTGGAGAACACCCTTATTTACCAACATATTACTATTAAGGATGTCTTTCAACAGGGTCACTGGAACTGGAATGCCCTAAACCCTCAACCCCCGGATCACATCAAACAAATCATTACCAATTTTAACATCAACTTGGCAAATAATCTTGACGATATTCCTCTCTGGACTGCTGCTGAATCTGGGAAGTTTTCAGTATCTTCAGCCTGGAAGCTTTTGAGAAAGAGGAGACCTTTTGCTCGTATTGATGCAAAAATATGGCACAAACATATACCATATAAAATGTCTTGTGTTACATGGAGGGCAATTCATAATAGAATGCCTACTGATGATAAGATTGTCGATAAGTTTAAAATAACCACTGTTTCTAAATGTGTTTGTTGTGTTGCTACAGGTATGAACCCGAGACTTGAATTCTCAGAACACCTATTTTGCAAAGGAGACTACGCACAACGAATCTGGAGCTCCATAATTGGCAGAATGGGCATTATCACCAGGCACACAAATCTCAGAGAATTGCTCCAAAGATGCTGGAATTTCACATCCAAAAATCCAGTCACTGAATATGTTTTAAGTATCATCCCTCCAATCATTATCTGGGAATTATGGAGATCAAGGTGCAACTCTAGATATGAGGAAGAGAGACCATCCACCAAAAGATCTATTTCTCTGATCGTCTTCAACATCTGTCACTTAACCAAAAAGGTTTTCTCCAACATTAACCTTCCGGAGAATTGGGAAAGCCTACTTAAGCTCATGGAAATACAACTTGAAGACACTATCCACACCACGGTTAAATGGTCGAGACCCTCGCATCACTCCATGAAGTTGAATACGGATGGCTCTTGTATTGGAGAATCTAGTGGAGGAGGTGGAGTGGTGCGAGACTCAAATGGAAATTGCATTATGGCCTTTATTCTTCCCCTGGGAAATGGAACCAGCAATACTGCTGAAGCAAAAGCCTTCCTCTTTGGCCTGAAGTGGTGTATTGCCAATGGACACATCTTTACTACAGTTGAAACTGATTCCCTCCTCCTCCTAAATAGCATTCTCAATTTATGGTCTACTCCTTGGAGGATGAGAGAAACGGTGGAAGAAATCAGAGAGTTGATCCTCAGACACAATATTCAGATCAATCACTGCTATAGGGAAGCCAACAGAGTGGCTGACAAACTTGCTTCTTATAGTCATCTAACCAACACTACCATAGTTATTACCGACACATCCGGTCTGCCATCACATGTTAAGGGACTCCTCAATTTAGATAAATGGCAATTTCCATCCTTTAGGATTAAAAAAAAGAAGCCTTCCCTGATTTACTATGACCCTCCTTGAGAAGTCTTTTGCTAGTTGTCACCTTTGTGCAACTTTTTTTTGCCCATTGCTACTGTAATCTTCAAGAAGGCAAGGTCTAAACCTCCTTCTCAAATTGTAATTGTTTCTCAGTGGCAATGATAGATATAAAATTTCAGTTTTTTTTTTAAAAAAAAATAATTAATCAAAAGTTACTAACTATAAAAAAAATATAACATTATTTCTATAACAAACTAAAAAATAAGACATGTAAATTGAAACAGAGTTACCTCCAGCGCTTTCTCCACCAATGAACACCCTGTTAAAATCAGCATAGCTAGTTAACCATGAGTCTTTACTACTCCCTCCGTCCCTATTTACTTGTCCATATTTCCTTTTTTAGTTGTCCCTATTTAGTTGTCCATTTTGACAAATCAAGAAAGGACAACAAATTTTTTTCTATTATACCCTTATTTACACTTCTTGAAAATTGTAAAAGTGTATGTTGTTTCCCTCCAATTTATTTCACTTGAATTCAAATAAGTGGTTGTAATTTTGAAGTGAAAAGTTGTCATAAGGGTAAAATTGTAACTTCACTGTGCTAATCATTGTTGCCTTAATCTGTGTGTCATTTCTAAAGTGGACAACTAAAAAGGGACGGAGGGAGTAGTATTACTGGATCCATTGTTATTCTCACTGTGATGACTAGCCACCCATTGAAGTACGGTCCAACAATCTTCGTACAATATTGACAAATCATTCTCTGGGGCTAATCTATACTCTACTGAGACACAAATTGCATTAGATTTGGAAACCAAGTCATTCAGAAAATAATGCACCTCGTTGAAAAAAGCAGATCCAAGTACAAGTCCGCCACCATGATAAAATACTAATACAGGAAGTTTTTCGTTACAAGTAACATTAGTATTTTTTGGAAGGTAGAGTCTAGCAGAAACGTGAGATGAGATGGTAATGTCTTTAGAGGAGACCCCGGTGGCTGGATCTTCCATCGATGGAGGAACACAGAACATGTTAAAATTTTCGTTGAAACGTTCTACGCGGCCATTTTTGTATAGTCGGAAAACGGGATGGAGATCGACGATTACCTCGTTGATCTCTGAAGCCATGGCAGCAGAAAGCTAGGAACGATATATTTTTGTGATTTTTTTTTTTTTTGTTCTTTGTTTCCAATTTATAATGTGTAGCTAAAACGAATAGTTTTTTCTAAAAAATGAAAGAGGGAATATTAACGTTGGACTAAGATACAATTTTTTACAGGAAATCTTAATTGTTAATTCTTTGTGCTACTACGACGTAAAAAATTATTGATTTAAAGAGATCTCGTTTGATTTGATTTTAAATATAATATGATATTATGATTGACACATGGAGGATAATTTAGAAATGTTATGAAATTTCTTTTTGGGTAATTTTGCAATGTTGAGACGTGGAAGACATTATCAGTCATCGTGCACAGTACTCCAATTTTTTTTTGTAATATTTAAAGGTTACTTGGAGTATTAATGGATATTATATTTTTTTTATTAAATGTGTCAAATCATATTTTCGGATAAAATCCTATTGTAGAAGTGTATAAATTATTGGCGGAATGACTTTGAAATGTTTTGTAGTTGGCTCCGTTTGTCAGTTAGCTCTTTTTTGTTTAATTGTTTTAAAAAAAAATTAAATATAAAATATTATATTCACTCGTTGTAAGACGTATGCAATCACTCTTTTTTTTAAAAAAATCAGCAATGTGAATGTCACCTAAGCTTGATCAATGGTCAGGGGTGTTTAAAATATTGTGTTTCAATAAATTTAAAGATTCAGTTGACAAAATCGTGAGTATAAGGGTCCAACTGACAAACGGAGCGCCAAGTATAAAGGCCTACCAGGTCATTCCACCTAAATTATTTATATTGGATTTAGAAGTGTATACAATTATTTTTTGATAAGTATTGTTTTGATAAATATTAACTATTATATCGAAAGTGTTATTTGTTTTGAATAAGTTATATTTATTGATAATTATATTCTTAAGAATTAAACGGTTTAAAAATAACGATTGTTGAATATTTTGTATTTTAATACTAAGTTGTTACTTGCTTGCCCTTGATATATTTAAGAAAAGGTTTACATTGAAATTTGGATTATGAACACTGATCCAAATAAAAGAAATTGAGACTAACATACTATAAACCTACATTTAACTATCAAATGTTTTGGGAGTTAATTGTGTTCACCAAAATTGACTTAAGATAGATTTTACTCTCTCTATTTCAAATTAATTAAATTGTTGAGGTGTTTCACACCCTTTAAGAAAAGAAGATTGAGACATAAATTAGGCATAATTTTTCCATTTTTATCCTTATTAATTATTGTCAAATTTATGATTAAAATAACTAAATATTAACTAATACAACTAATTCCAATACTAACTAATGAAGGATAAAATTGGAAGAACATTCTAAAAATAGTCTTGAAAATTGAATAATTAAATTAATGTGAAAAATAAAAAATATCTCAATAATTCAATTAATTTGAAATGGAGTAATTGTTATCCTAAAATTACGCTGCGTTGATATACACATAGATTTTACAAAATAGTAAAAAGGTTATAACACAGTATCCTCATTAATATGATTGATTCGATTCTTATAATATAACAACGAAATGACTTAAGCAAATAAGATACGTGATACTTATTGCTTGGTTGATCACCTAATTGACATTGGGATCTTATATCAATATTGGTGTCCTCGTATAATGTAAATAAAGTATTTAAATACATTTAGGATTAAAAGTCATAAATAATTTCAATGAGTTGAAAATGGCTTACCAAACACATCCTACAGAACACAAGTTTCAAAAAATAAATAAATTGCACTTCTAAAAATTTCACAACTTTAGGAGCTTCATTTAGGTATACACTTGTTAACAATATTACAAATCTTATCAAAAAAATTTTGAGTTCAGCTACGTTCATACTTCATATACATGTATTCTGAGATACATAGATCAAAAATTGATGTAATTTGTTGTAGATGCACTGTCTTCAAGTAGACTTGTATGTATCCAGGGCAAAAAAACTCACTCGCCTCTCACTTGTTACTCTCAAATATAAAGTTTGATTTCAACCCTCACTTTCCAAACTTAGATAACATACTATAGTTACTAAAAAAGGATATAACATACGATAGTTACTAAAAAAAGAATACGTAACTATGATATTCTTTGATAGAATAATTTATTCCAAACTTAGCTAACATACGATAGTTCCTAAAAGAAAGATACATAACTATAATATACTTGATAGGATAATTTATTCCAAACTTAGATAACATACGATAGTTCCTAAAAGAAGGATACGTAACTATAATATACTTGATAGGATAATCTATTCTAAACTTAGATAACATACCATAGTTACTAAAAAAAAAAGTTTACGTAACTATAATAAACTTCGATATTAATTATTTTTGTTCCTATATTATCGTTCTCTTTTAAAGTCTTCACATTTATTTGTAAATAATTCTGAATATTTTTTTTTAAGGAATGAATTAGTAAAATTATTTTCTTATTGATAATGTCTTAACATACGTATAAAAAAAAATCAATTAATATAAAACGAAAGAAATATCACGTTTTCGTGAGAAGACAAATATGTTGATTTGCGTAGTTAGGCGGCGGAGAATTTAAGGATGGGCGCACGCCGCCGCCGAATTTAATTGACTTAAGCAAATAAGATACGTGATACTTATTGCTTGGTTGATCACCTAATTGACATTGGGATCTTATATCAATATTGGTATCCCCGTAAAATGTAAATAAAGTATTTAAATACATTTAGGATTTAAAAGTCATAAATAATTTCAATGAGTTGAAAATGGCTTACCAAACACATCCTACAGAACACAAGTTTCAAAAAATAAATAAATTGCAATTATAAAAATTTCACTAGTTTAGGAGCTTCATTTAGGTATACACTTGTTAACAATATCACAAATCTTATCAAATTTTATTGTGTTTAGCTACGTTCATACTTCGTGTACATGTATTTTGAGATACATAGATCAAAAGTAGATATAATTTGTTCTAGATACACTGTTTTCAAGTGAATTTGTATGTATCTAGGGCAAAAAAAATCTTACTCGCCTCTCACTTGCTACTCTCTTGTTCTCGCTCGTTTCTCTCTATTTAAGTGTATATGGTAGCAAAAAATATGTATCTAAATATATCTAACTAGAAATCTGATATGAAATTATTAAATAGTGAAACAAAATATATATAGAAAATTTGATATATATGATAACAATATTTATGTAATTAGATAGTTATCCATTATAATAAAAAAAAAAAAAAAAAGACACTCAATTAGAAAAAAAGAGAGTAAAACAACAAAAAAAAAAGAAGAGAGAAAAACAACTCTATGACGGATAACATAAAATCTTGAACCTAAATAACGTGAAAAAATAGCAAAGGACTAAAGTAACACTCAAATATAAAGTTTGATTTCAACCCTCACTTTCCAAACTTAGATAACATACAATAGTTATTAAAAAAGGATACGTAACTATAATATACATGGATATAATAATTTATTCCAAACTTAGATATAATACTATGATATTCTTCAATAGAATAATTTATTCCAAACTTAGATAACATACAATAGCTACTAAAAAAAAGGATACATACCTATAATATACTTCGATAGAATAATTTATACAAAACTTAGATAACATACCATAATTACTAAAAAAAAAGTTTACGTAACTATAATAAACATCGATATGATCATTTTCTTAACATTTCCCAAAATGTTCATAGCCAAGAACAGTCGTCACACACAGCTCTTTTTGATAAAACTAGCTATTTCCTTAATCAGAATTTTGGCTTTTTCAGTTTCAGTATCAAAAATCTGAAAGCAATGATCTTCACCTTCAACATCAATCAATTCAATTTCCCCTTTCCATTCACTGTTCTTCACTGCTTCAGCATACTTAATCCCAATATTTCTCAGTTCATCTTTCTCTGCAACACACACTAAAATCTTTGAACAACCCAATGTTGATAAACTTTGAGCTTTTTCAACAAACGGATTAATGTTTGGATCATCAACTCCGTCTTTAGTTGATGGGTTTACAAACCCCCAAAGCTTACTGGGTAAACTGTCTTCTTTAAAATCAATTGATGTTAAAAAGTATGGAAAACAGAGTAATGAACCCAGGATTTTGATTCCACCATTTAAGCTTTCAGATCCAGATCTGAGAGATAGATTATGAACTATGTTACCTCCCGCACTATCGCCTCCGATTAGTACCTTCTCGAAATCGCCATGGTTAACTAACCAAGGTTCCTTTTCGAACCCGGGTTTTGCTTCAACATGGGATCCGACCCATTGAAGAGCGGCCCAAGAATCTTCATACGCTACTGGAAATGGGTTTTCCGGGGCAAGACGGTATTCAACTGAAACGGCGATGACATTAGATTCGGCGACTATGCGGTTAAGGTAACGGTGGTCGAGGAAAGAGAAGGCGGATTCGAGACAGAATGCGCCGCCATGATAGTAGACTAAGATTGGGAGTTTTTGGTCGGTGGAGTTTGTGAGCTTTGGGAGGTAAATTCTAGCTTTGAATTCCGGCGAAATGTCTATGTCTTTTGAGGAGACGCCGGTGGCAGGATCTTCCGGCGACGGCGGAACGATCGGTGAACCGAACAACCGCTCAACACGGCCGTTTTTGTAGACACGGATGTAATGAGGAAAATCGACTACCACCTCGTTATCGCCGGAGTCCATGGTGTATTAGTGATAAATAATTTTTGAGGTGCAAATCAGCTACTAAGACTCTTGTCATTTTATAATAAAATAACCGACCATGGACTACAATGGAAACACGATATAATATTTTTTTTAATAATAAGGTAATATCTCTTATATTATTAAAATTAATATTAGTTCATCTTACTAAAATTTGTAATCTCATACTTCCTCCGTTTCATTTGATATGTCAATCCTTTCTATAAATAACTAGACCACAATATTTATTCTTTTATAAAATTTATGCATAAATTACCATATTTTGTCTATTATATCCTTGATAAAATAGTTAATTAATTTTGTCAT